ATGTGTTCTTATTTTTTTAAGTAATTCAGCCTCAGTTTTCTTTTAAAATGTACTTTTTTTTAATTATAGAAAAAAAAAAAAAAAAGCGATTCCAAATAGAATCAAAATATATTATATATTTACAGGAATTTCCTGTCTCATTCAAAGTTGATAAACATTACTTCTTGCCCTTCCTACTATGCATATGTAGGCCTAGATAAGTAATACAATACACATTCATTACAGCACGGTCGACTTTGGTTTAAACAACTATGGTATGACAGTCGACAGAAGACGGGAAATGCAATTTACTACCTCTAAAATCTTACAACTATTACCAATGTATTTTATTTAAAGGCTGGTATTATTTATATCATATTGAAATATTCCACTAAAACCGGAGAACTTTCGTCCAAATTGCTACACATTTTCACTTTCCTCGCGACATTGTTTACATTAGTTACTGAGTTTACAAGAACGTTTGTGATTGGCTAATAGCATCTCATCAATGCTTAACAGATATGGTAAGTGTGCTGTGATTGGGTACTGCTTTCGTGAACGACATTATTTTTTCGAAGATAAATTCTCATTTTTGGTTACAGTTTCCCCAAATTTACGATTGCCGACAATTATATTATGTTTCAATAAAATAGTATTGACATTTTTGTGCGAATGCCAAGTAGCGCGGATTGGTGGGTCACAGAATTCGTAAACTAAGCCGATTTTGGAGCCTCAACCCACGGTCTACATCATCATCATCTTCATATTCTTATCATCATCAACATCATCATCATCATCATCGTCATCATCATTATCATCTTTGTGGTTGCTATCATCAACTTCATAATTGTTGTAACATATTCATCATATTTTCTCATATCATTAATCATCATAATCATCATCTTACATCATATTTGTTATTAATATTATATCTTTCTCAAATCATCATTCCTTGGCATAATTATTTTTTGAATATTCATTATTTTTGATAATAATTACCATCATATTGGCATCATATCATATTTTCATCATCATCATTATGATCATATTCATAATTATCATTGTCTTCATCATCACATTAAAATCATTGTACCATTTAACAAAACATTGATAATTATATTCATAATAACATACATTACAGTACATAATTATGTTATAAAAACTAGAGAGAGAATGTTCTTTTTGATATTTTACAGGAAGTTGAACGAGAGATTTCATTTCGGACAGAAGCAGGTCTTTACTATTCCTACTACAAGCAAATGGTACTTAGTCCATCTATATCAGAAGGTATATCATTGTCATTAACATCAGTTCAGTACTTGCAGACTATAGCATTCATTCTGAATTTAAACTTTACGGTCAAACAAAAAAAATTTCTAGTTTCTCATCCCCTCGCGCATCCATTTTTTCTGCCTCACCAAATTCTCGGAATAAAAAAAAAGTGCTCTCATTCTCCTTATTTTTTTAAATATTAGGACGAGAAACTACTTAACTTGGCCAAATAGTAATTTCTAATTCTTTGTGTTTTCAACCCAGGCACATTTCTTTGTATTTCAAACCTACAATGAAAACACTGTCAAATTAAGATAAATGTGGTTTATTTTTTTCATACAGTCACTGAACTTGGAAAATGAAAATTGATTGAGCGAATATTAAATAAATCAATAATAATAAGCATTTTTTATTTAAAGGTTTATATGATCTCATAAATGATAACAACACCGAGAGTTGGCGTACTATCAACATCTTGAACCGGTTTAATGTTTACCAAGAAGTGTTCCTTGCTTCTGTGTACAGAATTTTTTCCCTCAAGGTTTGTACAATATAATATGAACATGGCGATTACTATACTAGTCTCGCAAATAGAACCATGAGTTTCGCGATGTGAAATGTAATGTTTACATAAACAGTCACCCTCTGAAAAATTTTTAATAATGTAATTCCTAATAGATGAATATTTATATAAATTATGTCTGCTTGGAATATTTACCCCCACACCAGCCTTCACGCTGGTGATAAGACACAATCTCTGTGTCAAGATGACATAATGACATTCCCATCAACATTAAGTACATTTTGAGACCGAAAGAAAATCTAGTTGAGTGGTTGTGCAGTAATTAGGTAGGGCGCTGCAGCATAAACCCACTGGCTCAAAATTGTCCTAAAGCATTGTTTGGTTGGTATAATTTTTTATCAATAAGGACTCAAACCAGAGGCCCATTCTGTACACGTCTTGTTCATTTGCACTTTTCAAAGGGTAGGCTTTACCTCGTTGCTGTGGTTTACTTCAACCCTTGTCACTTTGGAAGGATGGAATTTGACTACTGAATGCCTCTCTACTGCAACTGAGATATCACTGACCACCATTTTGGATTTGAACACAATGACAGTGCAATTTTTTTTTTTTTAATTTCCTCTACATCCAACAGCAAGTACACTCGCCACGTACAGGATAGAATAATGCTTTATAAACCAAATTATAAGGCTTAGGGAGTGGAGTTGTTTTAAGTTGTGAGAAAAAGTCCTGCTATGACAGGATAAGAACCCAGGACCCTGGGATAAGAAGGCAGTCATTTTAACTGCTAAGCTATTCAACGCCGCTCCAGATTAACTTTAGAGGTTAATCTGCCGGCCTTTAGCTTTAGCCAATTTATTAGACACATCATTTTGATGATATATGACTAGATAAAATTCCAAAAAAGTGTGTTAGTACATGTAAACTTGTTTTGGCACAGGGGAAGGAACCTTAACAAAAGGTCTGGCATTCAGTGTGTTAAAATTATGTCTGTATAAGTATCCTGCATCCCTGGGAATGATGTAAAATGCAATATTATAGTACAACTACCTCTTACTAATATTAATATCCTTGACAATCTTTGAAATGTCATCTTTGTAAGTATCATGGGTTCCTGTAGGAATAACGTATTATGATAGAGATACTACTGTTACAATCCTTGGAAATCCTCGTGTTGAGAATTTTATCGCTTTATTGATTACTAAACAATAAAATAGTACTTTTAAAGTGACACCTTCATGAGAAATAAGGAATTTCATTAATATGGGTACATCCTGAAGGTGTTTAATTAATACATTATAAAGTATCCTATTAATATCATAAAAGTTAAATTGTAACACTATAAATTTCTAAATAGGCTCATTGAAACTAATTACTAAATGTTTTATTTCTTTCAGAGCGTCATTGAGCCTATATTTTTCTACATCAATGCAGTATTTGCCTTACATGGAGTCTACATAATTGCTCTGTATGTGATGGCTTGGCTTCTGTCGGGGTCTTGGCTTAGTGGTGTACTTGCCGCGGCTTTATATATTTTCAACAAGTAGGTGATAATATTAACAGATAGTTTTTGTTTATAATAATAATATTATTCTAGATATGTAAAGAGCCTGATGTCGAGAAACCTCTAAGCGCTGTACTTAAACTACATTTGGAAAGAAAACGAAAGGACCAAAAAACAAAAAATTCCCACCATGCCAAAAAAAGATTAGATTAGTTAGATAATGCACGATGACCACATTTTAGGAGTAATAAGTCGATTCTGTGAATGAGAATGAAAACTGCAATAGGAGGTTTGTGGAGTATGAAATTTATCAGTGTATCCTGGTGCAATCTATACATTTTGAGACCTTGTGTTTTGGGGAACTAGTAATGATGATGGAGTTTGTATTAATGTGGGTACTGTTGGTGTGGGGGGGGGGATGGGAGTGATGGCAATATTAATTGGTTGTTATTATTTTATTGTAGTCTTGGTGCTGATAACAGAGATAGTGATGTCATTGGTGACGTCGAAAATGGTAAATGTAAATGTGACGGTAAATAATTCTCAAAAGGTAATAGTCGTGAAAACGATATTGATTTTCCTTATATTTTTTCAGAGATGATACAACTAGAGTTGAATACACTATTCCTTTGAGGGAAAGTTTTGCTCTGCCTTTCATGAGCCTTCAAATGATGTTCATCACCTATTACCTCCGACCACACATTTCCAGAAATGCTCAGGTAAATTCCATTGTTTTTACAAAGAGAAAAATGTTTTAGCTAAAGAACTCCACGATCCTGTATGTTGCCTTAAAAGTACTTTAGGCTTATCCATAAAGATATTCTGTGTTAAGCTAATATAATAAACTTTTATATTTTATTTGACAAAAACATGCCTAATATAAATATTATAATATAAATATGGTCATGATGACATCACATCATGACCATATATAGGCACATCATGGCCATATATAGGCACATCATAACCATATATAGCCACATCATGACTATATATGGGCATGTAACAGTTTTTTGTCAAAGAAAATTTGATAGTGTGGACAGAGCTTTATATACTGTAACTAAAAAAAAAAAAAAATCAGTTATTAGCTTTCAGTTGTAAGATAGAACAATGTAATGGCCAACGTAATGGACAAGCGTTTTGTACTGCGTCTCTTTCTTCGGATACAAAGCATTAATCCCAAAAAAAAAAAGGAATGCAAGTGAATATTTGTACTGAAATAATATTAAATGAAACAATCGCAACCCATGTCGGGACATAGCGTTGCTTTCACAGGTGAAGTACACAGATACCCACCGGCAAGTACAATGTAAAATTTGCTTTGGCCTTTGCATAGTGCATCGGGTCTACTACCATTAGAGTTGTGGGGGCCGGGGTGGTTGATGGGCCAGGGGAACATGGCTACTTTTTACTGTCAAAATTCCATTTTTTTCATATTGGGGGATTTTATTATTTTTTATTAATTTTCAGATTGTTTCATTAGCTGGTATCACTTTGTGTTCTTTCCTGTTTGTTTTAACTTGGCAATTTGCCCAGTTTGTGTTTCTGCTGCAAGCTATGGCATTCTATGGTACAGTGACACTTGGGTTTGTTCCACTATGTAAGGTAAGTGTGTCCAACCTAATTGAATTTGTAACATCTAAAACAAAATTATTGTCTTTAGTATGAAATAATATAATAGATTATAGGTTTTTTTTTTGGTTTTTCGCTCAGATTTTCTAATTTATGGATTTTTTAAAACGTGGCATAATTTATTCTATGATTTACATTGCAATTATTTTTGTTTATCTTTTTATAGATCCGTTATTTGCTGGGGGCTCAAGTTGTATCTATTATCCTAGTGTGTGTTCTGCAGTTTTTTAATAAGATGCTCCTTGGAGCTTTAGTGTTGAGTTTCATTCCTGCTGCCTTAATTGTTTTACACTTACAAGTAAGTTATCAATTTGACACTTACTAATATTAATTATTGATAAAGGTTTAGAGTCTTATTAAAGAATACTACTATACTAGTAAGACACGAGGCAAATAGACAACACAGTAATTAAATCCAGTGAAACGAAATGTGAGGAATACAAAATTACATGTTTCATGCTTGGCTAATCAGACGCATTTGTTTTCTCCTTTCAGGCCCGTTTTAATGTGAGGACAAACATTGGTGTAAATATTGCAAAAATTCTTGCTTATATATTTCTGGTTCTTTTTCTCACCATCTGCTTTAATGCAATAGTGAAGGTAGGTTGCATATCAATATTTTCAAAATGTTAAATAATAATGAAGTAGTAGGCAGATTGATAAAATTCTTGAAAAAGATGTAATGGTCAGTGGTAGATTCAAGGGTGGTGCCCCCCCCCCCAAATTTTTCAAAATTTTAACAAAAATTGAGAAAAAAGGAAAACTATGATCCAAATTTAGGTCTGAGAGTGCCATTACCGTCCATTTAGAAGTGTCATATGAATTTTCTTACCTCAATCCCAGCCATGGTGGGGCTGAGGTGGTCTTGATTCCCCATCTGTGATAGTTCCTCCCTGGGGCCCCCCTATTTCGATTTCCTGGATCTGCCACTGATTGTTATAATATAATTACTATGATAGTTTGATGTCCAGATGAATAATGAAAGCCATGTCTGTCTAATATCCAGCGGCTTATCAAAGAGTCTTGAAACTAGGCAGCTGATAGGTTTGTGAAAGGTCAAATGGGGGAGAGTTTGATGATTACGTGTGGGGGTGCACTTAAGGTGATTTTGAACTAGCTGTGCATAATTTTTTAAATACATTTAAAGTGGTAGGGAAACTTAGGGGAAGTTTTTTTTTTGGAGGGATGGGGGATGCTACTGCTAATATCTCATAGTTCTCTAAGGATATAGGATACAGTATTTGATTCCGCTTGACATATTTACAGTTAGACTGTACTTTTGATAAGACAGCTTCATAAATGTAGAACTTTAGTTTGATGACATATTAAAAATGTTACACAAGATCAGAATTTCAAATGGCATGTGAATATGCATTATAATTGGTCCCAATTGTGAAGATGCTGAATAGCAATTTAATGAATTTTGTAATAAAGCTAATTCAGCTGCATATGGCATAATGAATACAGATTTCTGAAGTGATGGTTGAAATTTATTGGTAGATTAAGAGGGTTGAGAAGCATTGGTTTGTTGCTCAAATTTTGTGCATCTTTTAGTGAAATCAACTTTCTTGAAGAGTACATTTTTACATCAAAGCTGACCTAAAGAACATTATAATGAAATTAATGAAATTTACAAGGCAATGACAACTATATAACACTAAAAAAACAAAGCATAAATATTATATTTACTGACATATTTTTGTTTTGTTTTCCAGTACCTGATCAATTTAGATGACGATCAACATATTTTCAAATTTCTTCTTGCGAAATTTGAGGTTGCAAGTACAAGGTGAAGATTAGATAATTGAATTTACATTTATTAAAAGTGTAGGCAATTGCCAGACAAAATAATATAAGACATAACAATAACTCAATAATTACGTTTGAATCAGTGGTTTGTCAGTGGAGAAAATGGATCCGGTTGAACGCATTTTGCAACGGAGTAGTATCACATGGTATCATGACATAACACTGTAATACTCTATAGGAAATTGTTATGTAATATGAAAAAAAAAAAACATAATTCTAATGTTGTTTTCTGTTGCAGAGATTTTGATGCCCTATTGTACAAATGTAATGGAGCCTTCCAGTTTCTATCACATGATTTCTTTGAGCGGACATCAAGTCATCTTCTTTTTCCAATCTATTTACCTACCATAATAACAATATTAGTCTGTGTCTTGATATCGGTCCTACAAAGATGGAGGTAGGAAATCATACAATTAGCAATTCATCTATTCATTATTAATTTTGGTGTTCTTTTCTGTTGTTCTGACAAGCACATAGAAATGAATTTTATATCCACTATACTAGGGTATAGCCATTCACCATAAATTACCCAAAAAATGTAAATATATGCAATAAACAACAGAAAATTAGACATAAACTGAACGCTTTCTAAGATGGCATCAATCGAAAGGAATTGTGGGTCAAGCCAGTTTGCAAGTTTTTATTTTATGTATTTATAGCAGAAACATGTTAATCCACTTTAAGAAATATAATGACTAAATCTGTAATATGTAGACAGTATATTGGCAATTCATCCTTTATTTATTTGTCTACATGCCATTTTCCCCAAAAAATATCAGATAATCTCTGAACCATCTTCACAGATATGCTTCTAATTCATTTTTTTTTGCCATTAGGTTTTGTAATCCTGTTACTGTTTGAGTCTAAGGAAGGCGGTTTGGCTCAGTGGTTTTCATTCTTTTCTTGGCCGGCCATGCTTAATAGATAACTGTATTGTATAATAATAACTGTCACAGAAGAATATATAAATGTATGAAAGTCCCTTTATTTCAGATTGCCTTTGAAGGAGAAGATGGATGATAATGATTGTCAACATGAACCACTCCTACAGCAACGTCCTGAGTTAGCGTACCACGCCATCCAGTCAGTATTCTTTGGAACATTGGCCCTTACTGTTCTGCGCATTAAATATCTGTGGACACCCCAGATGTGCGTCTTAGCTGCCGTTGGAGTAGGTGACACACAGGGCTGGAGGCTCTTGATGAGGAAAATAGGCATTACCTCGAAAACATATGTGAGTTTTTAATGTGAAAATTTATGAGAGAGATAAGATATATTAAACACCCAAATTGAAGCAAATCTGCTGAATACATGGTACACATTATTACAGTCAAATCTCTGTATTATTTGTAATCAAAGATGTATACACATTATTAGAGGACTTGACATGAATTGGTTGCTTGTTTGGTTTTTCAATAGTAGATTAAAGTACTCTTATTTTTGTGTTTAATTTATTTTAGGTTAGTATCATTCAACATGCTGCTACACTCACTGTAATTGCATTATTGGTCTATTTGGTAAGTTGAACTGGAGTTCTTTCATCTTTCATTTTAAATAGATAAGCCTTACTCTATACACCTATTAACATTCTAGTCAAGGAGAGTGAGAGATTGAGTTGGAAATTGACCTCTTTGTATATCTGCTGGAGGACAATAAGGACAGTGTGCATTGCTTCTTTCAACCTAGGAGCTACATAGAAATCTGGTGGGGTAGTACCTGGCAGGACTCTTTTGTGGATCCTTCCAGCTTGACCAGAAATTAAAATAATCCCACAGGCAATTGAAAATGTTTGTCACTCACTCTCAGTAGTGTATTGAAGTGGGTTTCCCCCCTCCCCCTCAAAAAAAAGCTTGCCCCTCCAGCTTTCCTCCATTTAAAATGTTTGAAGCAAAAATATCATGCTCACATAGCTAAAAATCACTTCATATCACAATATCACCTTAGTTTGCGAGGTAGCGTCCCCTCACTTAATCATCGAGACCCTCATACTTTACCTTAGTGCCCCCCCCCCCATTTCAAGACACTTAGATACACGATTGCTCACTCTGATTTTGCCTTTATATCCAGTGACCAGGGAACTTAAGCATCATAAAGGCTTATTTCATTGTGCACCATATAAATGTGTTGAATATAAAATGTAACTTTGTGTTTTTCTTTCTGACAGTGCTTACCTGATGCCATGAGTCAGCTGGGCCTACTAAGAGAATTCTACGATCCAGACACAGTTGAACTCATGGTGTGGATCAAGTAAGTAATCCTGCAAAGACTTTGTGTTTAAAGAGTATTATCGTAAACATTCTCAACTTTCATCCTGTAATTTTACAGAATTTTAAAATGCCACATAACTTTGAGTAGCAGCAGTTATACTTGGTAGTATATAATGTATTCAAAATATGGTTATATCAAAACCATATTGCAAATTTCAGGTATAAATCATAAGAAATAGTTTTTGATTTGAATTCTTAATGTTAATATGTTTGTTGTTTATTCCAGTGTATTTTTTGTGTACATTTTATATTCATCTTTTTTTTTTATATATATCATTATCTTTATTAATCAATTCACAAAAAAATAAATTTGCAGCAGATGCTGTTAAATTAAAGTATTTGAAAACTAAAAAAAAAAAAATTTAAGCATGATGTATCTTCTCTGTTATTAGCAAAAATGGAACATTCGTCTTCATGTATAAACACAAATGCTAATAGATTGCTTTCGCTTTTATTATTTTGCAGTCAGCAGACCCCAAAGACCGCTGTGTTTAGTGGCAGCATGCAGCTTCTAGCCGGGGTGAAGCTGTGTACGGGGAGAAAGCTCACCAATCATCCGCATTACGAGGATAAAATGCTACGAGAAAAAACAAGACAAGTAAGGCAATAAATATAATTTTGCAGAGCTTGGTGATGATGATAATGATGATGATGATAATGATGATGATGCAGTATATTATTTGAAGGTTTGCATGGCGAGGTAATAAATATTAACATTTGTGTTAATGGTGCACCGCAAGAATTAATGATGATGATGGCAGTTATGATGATAAAGACAGAGATAGCGGTGATGACAGCATTCATGGAAATAATTATGAAGAATATGTTTGTGATGATGATGTTTAATAATTATGACTATAATGATGGCAATTATTATAATAAATACAGAAATATAATACTTTCCTTCAAATTAAGCATTTACTTCAAAATATATTCCAACAACTATCTTAGGTTAGGTCCCTCCAAATATTATTGTCCTATTAAAAGTTGACTTATTTCTGAGCATTGAAGAGAACATGATTTGAATATATCATTATATTTGTAGTTGTATCAGTACTACGGAAGGAGGACACCAAAAGAAGTCTTTGATATACATGAGAAGATTGGCACAGATTACATCATATTGGAAGACAGCATCTGCTATGCAAGAGCTTCCCCTCAAGGATGTCGGCTACCAGATATCATTGACATCACCAATGGTCATGTAAGTAATACATTTATGAATGATTAACAAGGTTTTAGTTTAACTATGAGAATTGCTCTACTTAACAATAATAATAATTGAACTTTATATTACTATTCATTCATTCATGGATTTTATTCAATATAATATTCAATATAAAAAATTCAAGCAAAAAAAGTTAAAATTAAGATTATATCATAAAAACTACAAAATTACCATATAAAAAAAATAAATGAGTAAGTGAATAAATAAATAACGGGGGAACAGAAGGCAGTATAATGTATTGTAGACGAATCTAAATTGCACATTATTTACATTGCCCTGGTGGGAGTCATTAAAACAGTACATTAAAAAGCGAAAATACATGATTATATGTTCTCACAATCAAACACATCTCTACTCTGCAAACCTCATAAAGAGACTTGGTTAGTAAGTACTGGTCTACAATTGCCTCTTATCGATCGTGAGGTCACAACAATTACGCTTCTTAGGACATATCCTCAGGGTGTCAAAAGAACCAAGTCAAATATATGCACTTTACACTCCTCCACATGGCAAGCGAAGGAAATCATACCTATCCTAAGTACAGAGATTATTAGGTGATACCGAAGGCATGCTCTAGCCAGATAAAATTGTCACCTTTGCCACGGATCGTGTTGCTAGGAGAAATCATGTGGTCGCCTGTTCACAGCTGAATGAATGAATTATGCTCTACAAATATAGACAATTGTGCTGTACGTGCAATTGTTTGTGACAAATGTTCAATGCACAGCAATATGTGCTTCAGCAATTAAAATAATAATAATAGTGGTAGACTTATCAATCAATCAATTTATAGCGCATATTGTTAAGTCCTCTATGCACTTCACATTATCATTACCCAGTGGTCACAAACTCAAGATCCTTAAGAGAGTATTCCATAACGTTGCAGCAGCTACCCTACCAAGTACCCATTTATACTCCTGGGTGGAGAGAAGCTGAGCAGATAAAGTGCCTTGCTCAACTACACAAGTGAAATGTACAGCAAGGGATTGAAACCCCGACCCCAAGGCTGGGAAACCGAACCGTTCCCACTGCGCCAAACCACTTCCACAGTTCCTGTAAGTTGACTGGTTATAAATACTTGATGCGATTGTTAATGGTCTTGCATTGCTAGGGGGTAGTAGTAGTAAAGCAGCAGAGTTAAATTTTGGCATGAAGCACAAGTCAACAAATACATGCTGCTTTTCATCATTGTCGTGATAGTGACTATCTCGATAAGTCTGGCTATAATTGAGAGCAAATGTTTAAGACCATTTTACATCAATCCACCCTGGATACTCTGTTTTTTCTTGTTACAGCTTTATTCGGGTGCCATGGCTTCCGAAGAACCCGGCTTAGAGGATATCAGTACTTTGCGATTCTGCGATGGTATTCAAGGTGCATCAGAGAAATACACTAAATATTTCAAAACTGTACTCAAGAATAAAACATTTAGAGTATATAAATTAAATAAAGATAAACATAAAAAGAACAGAAAACAAAGCTAACAAGATGTAAACATTTTGTGTCCATGCTACAGGACTGTACCATTGTCATAATGGGTGATACCAGAAAGCTTTTCAATTCAGATTTTAAACATATACTCAAATGGTAATTGGAAGGTCTTGGGTTTGAATCCCTATATGGATAATGCGTTTTTCTAAAAAAATGTATTAATATCAACAGTGGAGGTTATCTCAATACCAAAGTTTCTATCATTCCTTGAGAAAAAATGTCCTAATTGAAGTACAAGGGTGTATACTGTACCACTTACTCATAGCTAATTTGGTAGAGTATCTGAATGGTAATCGGAAAGTCTTGGGTTCAAAGCCCGATGGACACAATAGGTTTTTTATTAATATTGTTACCACCAGTAGAGGTGGATCTCCATTACAAAGTTAATATGGTGTGCTTTTATAACAAATTTATGTAATAATAAAGTAAGAACTTATATAGCGCCATTTAAAAAACCGAAGTAATTATCAGTGGCGCTTCATGTTATTGTTGGAATAAGTGCGTTTTGAGTGATTTTTTAAATAAAGGAATTGATGCTGATAGAGTTTTGTAGTCGTTGAAGCCTGTTAATTTGGATTTTAGGAATATTAAATAAAAGAGAGTTGCAATAGTCAAGTCGGGAGAAAATGAAAGCGTGAATAATCAGAGCCGTAGTTCGTTTTGATAAGTATGATAAGTAAACACGTTATATTTTCATTGCGGATTTTTTGGGCTCAGTACGGACTCTAAACGTATACATTTTCTTTTAGTTTTAAGGCGTATGCGGATTTTATAAGTCCGCAATGACGATATAACGTGTTTGTATTTAAAAGGCTTTTATTGTTTTGTACAAATACAAGAGTTAATATTATGTTTACGAACTTCAGTTATTGTCAAACTACTCTTTAATGAGCATCTCATACTTATGAACCCTTTCCACCACGTTAGCCCTGTGTAATTGTAATTTTTAAAATTTAATTTATTTAAAAAACTGTTTTCTTGTATTGTGCACATATTCATTTCAGGTAAATTGCTTTTATAATATTCATTGCAATACCTTGAGAAAAAAAAAAAAAAAAAACCTATCCTAATGGGAAATTCCAAGGGTGAAAACCACTTTGAATCATAGCTCAGTTGGTAGAGTATCCAAACGTTAATCGAAAGGCCTTTGGTTCAAATCCTAATGGAGACAATATGTTTTTTTGCTCAAAAAATGTATTATCTTTATCACCAGTGTAGTTGGATCTCCATTACAAAGTTACAATTGTGTGCATTTGTAACATATTAATGTATTTGAAATGCTTTTTTATGTTTTGTAATACAAGAGTATTATTATGTTTATGGACTTGAGTTATTGTCCAACTTACTTTTTAATGATTTTCTTGTAATTCAGAAACTCTTTCCACCACGTAGCCATGTATAATTGTAAATTTTTAATTTAATTTATTTTAATAAATTGTTTTCTTGTGTTGTGCACATATTCATTTCAGGGAAATTGCTCAGAATACTTTTCTTATACACAATGTGAAACTTCTTCCCCATTTTAAAAATTATTCCTAGTTGTGCAGCTAATTCTTAGTTACCAAGCATCTCGCATTCAAACAGGACTTTCACACATGTTAAAGCCATTTTATCTAAAACACGCTTTTTGAAAATTCTATGAGTGATCATAAATTTTTCATACAATTATTAAAAAACCATTTAGAATTACAGTTGAACTTAACCTATGTTGAATCCAAAATGGATTTGAAAAAATTTTCGACTTGTAAAATTTCACTTACAGATCTCTAATTAAGGGAAAGCACAATTTGACATGTAAAATAAGATCAACTTAGAAATTAGTCAAGTCAGTCAAAGTCGACTTAGGCAAAGTTAACTGTAGTAGATAGATATTAGTCTAAAGCCCTGTTCAGACTATCATGTTTTATTTGACAAAAACATGTGACATGCCTAAAAATGGTTATGATGACATCACATTTTGATCGTATACGCACATGAGCATGATACAACTGTTTTTTTTTGTCAAAGTAGAGCTTAAGAGGCGATTCAAATTTTGGATGAAAATGTCCAAATGACCTCAGCCATGACACTAATTATTATATTAAATGCAACGATTAATATAAGCCAATAAGATCTCTTTAAATAATAAAGCCTCAAGAATGGCAAAAATGTAAATAGGTGTTGTAAAAATTTTTTTTAAATTGGCAAATGTTGATAGTTGAAATAATAACTCTCTCCATATTTCCTTGACTGTTGTTAATTCTGTTATCTTGCTTGTTAATAAATCTGCTGCATTGCTTTATATATTGAAAATGTGTTTCTATTGTGCTGGATACATTATACAGTAGAACTTCATACACTAAAAACATACTGAGAAAATCTGGTCATTCAGCATTTAATCAGAACCACCCGCTTAAAAAAGAAAATATCTAACAAAGAACATGTAATAGATACTCTAAGACCACTTCTGTAATTGAGAAATCTACCATTTCAGGAGTCAAAATTTGGAAGAAGTCATTTCCTGGAGATCTGTTTAAACAACCTTCTTAGCAATCTAATTTTGTTTTGCTACAAATTGTAATATCAATCAACACTGACTTCTATGAGACAAATGATAGTAATGGGGTAATACAGTAGTAAAAATATGCAGATTTAATGAATTTGCAGGAGATGGGTTATTTTCTGGGAGATTCTTATCGGGTTGCAGGAAAACAGGAGGCTGTCCCGAATTCTGGGAGATTAAGGACCCCTGCCATTTTACATGAAACCAGTTGCAACATGTCAGTCTCTTTCTTGAACTACCACAGATAATAATTACACAAGATCTAAAAGTACCATAAAAATTTAATACAAGTTCAGAAATACATACAGTAATCGCATTCGAAATTTGGGTAATTATGGTAACATTAATGCAATATTAAGATACAACACTATGGCCTACAGTAAGTATATCAGAGGTACTGTATTAATAATTTGCAACATTGTGGTATTGTACAGTTGACAAACTATGGTAATGCAATACTACAAAAACAAGGTATTTTGAAGGATCTTCAAAAAATGTTTCAGACTACTGCAGAACACAACCATCAAAATCATCATCAGAGCTTTGTCCTTGACAGGGGCAATCGAGGCCTCCCCCAGAGTAAAAATGTTTACCGCAGGACTGACAATGTATTTCACGGTAGTCTCCGAGGCACCTGCCGAAGCCTGGACAACCTATGCAATGGTTGTGAGATTTACCAGAGTCAAAATGTGTTCCATTGCTGCACATCTTAGTCACATAGATGCCACCGCATTCTTCGCCTGGACATTTCAAAGTTGCCATTTCACCACCATCTTCATAGTCCAACCCTGCATAATCTGGTTGGTAAAGAATGTCACGAATGGTTGCTTTTAGGTCACCTTTACACCAATAACAACTACTTTCAATAATGACATTATCCAGAGGACTATCGCCACTGATGTCAATGTAACCCTTCTGGATTCCTGCACGAAGGCATCTGCTGACAGATTCGATGTTGGCTACACCTTGTTTATCAAGCCATTTGTTGACCGCCTTCACTGACATTCTGGTCCTGGTTTTTGGTTTTTCCTTCTCCATGCCACATAGACGCATCAGCAGCTGGCCTTTTGTTCCAGACACCTTCATATTAGCATCTCGACACATTTCCTTCAACTCGCGAGTTGGTAGCTTCTGCAGTGATTCAAGTTTTACATGTGACATCTTCCCTAAAAAGAACCATGAAAAATAAAGTTCTTTTAATTAGACCAAGTGACCAGAGCTCTGCTAGTGTGAGCCTAAAATTGTATAAATTGTTAGAATAACCCATAACTTGCAGCATCATTGTGCTGAATTGCGTAGTATTGGCATGGTATGACTACCTGACTGCTGTGTAAGGTGCAGCTTCGTATTCACATCATCCCATGCCAGGGGCTGAAATGAACCAGAGCAGACACTAGGCCTATTTACTTTCCAAATGCCATTGTGTTTGGGCAACAGAAAATTATTTTGCCTATTAGGTCAGACAAAAAGGATATTATTTGGGTGTAGGCCTAGCCTGGCCCTAGTAATAATAGGCCTAGGGCCTAGACAATTCAGAAAAGTGATCAAGCTGTAAAGAGCAAGAATGTAATTATTTATTAGGCTAGTATTATAGGGTCCTCCTAGGCCTAATGTTTTTTGAATGAATTGAATCTTCAGGCTCTTTATAAATTACTGTAAAGCATTTATAATAATGTAATGTAATGATACACGACGATAAGTTTAAAAATTTGATGCTCTTATCTTAGCCGGATAGCAAAAGTTTAGACCTTTCGTGTTGAGCATGCAGATAGGCCTGCTCTAGGGTCCGGAAACCTAAGGTCCACACTGTCCTGCTGTAGGCGCTAGATATGGCCTAGGCCTAGCCTAGGCCTATTTGGATTTTTTTTCGCGCGTAATATTTACTATTGAGCTATATTTTTTTTGCCAGATGGGGATAATAGTAATACTATAATAAGTGTTACTGGAAAGTCTTCTAGAGTATTTGCTCAAAAATATAGTAATAATACTAATAGGAATACTAACTTACCAACAATTGTTTGTTTGTTCTATGTCTTCAACTAGCTCCGGATTGCGCGGCATCATCACTTTTGAACTCAAGAAAACTTTCCCTGACACAGAGGGCGCCATACAATGTGCGGATGATTAATTGCAATCATCATAATTCGTCAAAGGGAAGTGCAGGAGTGCCGCTAGGATTTCCCAAACATTTTGACAATTTAGGGGTTTCAACTGTTTATTTTATCATGATTTAATCGATGTTAGAGTCAACCAATATGTAGGAAACAATTTTAATGTTTTTGTCCGACGAAATGTGGTTTTTCTCCCTGACAGTGGACGTTCTCCCGACGGGGGCTGCTGGCTCAACCCCCGGCACAAGTGATGCGACCATGATTTATTTATTTTATTTTATTTTATTTCTTCCAACAGCGAAGAATCACCACTTACAGGTAAGAAAAAATGTAAAATACACAGTATAATATAATACAGTATAAATACAGAGATATAAAAAATATGGAAGAACCATAAAATGCGGAGAGAAGAATAACACACACAAAAAAAAGGCTCTAATTAAGGCTTACGCCTTACTGCCGGTAGCGGCTCTAGGATATATTTTCTTGGGGGGGGGGGGCTAAGTTGTCCGACAGGGGGAGTTGAGCTCGTAGGCCCGAGCTGGAGGAAGGGGTTGAGGGGGTCCCCTCCCAAATGAGATTTTCTTGAAGAATATCAACCACGGGATGGCCGAAAATGGCACTCTCAGACTGTGACAGACATGTGTTTGGCTTGGTGTTTGCCTATTTTTATATGTTTTATGGTCTGACGGCCCAACGAGCTCTGTCCGGCGCGGGGTGGGGGAGGTTTGACCTGTCAGGTGGGGGGGGGGTCGTCGGTAAACGTTAGTGGGAGTCAGGGACAACAGTTGGGCCGACG